GTACTCCGATGAACTTAGCAGAATGAAAAGAGACCTAAAAGAAATTTCCAGGAGATTAAGTATCAATCCTAACAATAAGGAATTAAGAATGAAGTGCTATAACCAAAAAAGAAAATATAAACAATTGATCAAAAAAATGAAAAGAGAGTTTAAAAAAAATATATTGAATAAGTTGGAAAAAATGGGCAATTCTCGTCCTAACGACTATTGGGAATTGATAAATGATTTAAAAAGCAGTCAAGAAAACAATGATCATGAAAATATTAGTGAACAAAAATGGTATGCACACTTCAAAATGCTAAACACAAATGAGGTAGAAAATGATATAACACTTCAAAAAGAAATTACAAAACTGGAAGATGAAAACACTGCAAGTATCATATTAGACCAAGCTATATCTCAGTTAGAGATTCAGTCAGCAATAAGCAAACTAAAAAATAAAAAAGCACCTGGGGTTGACAAAATCACTAACGAGATGATAAAAGCAGGCAGAAATACACTGATTAAACCACTGCAAAAATTGTTTAATTTAATACTGAGCAGTGGAAAATTTCCAAATACTTGGAATTTAGGCATGATCACCCCTGTATTTAAACAAGGTATCAAATCTGAACCAGGAAACTATAGAGGAATAACTCTTCTTAACAGTTTGAGTAAGCTCTTTACTGCAATCCTGAAACAAAGGTTAACAAAATATATCAAAGAAAATGATATCATTATGAGAGAACAGATTGGCTTCATGCCAAATTTTAGCACATCTGACCACATCTTTGTTTTTAAACAACTTTTAACAAAGTACTTAAATAATGGTAAATATATTTTTTCATGCTTCATAGATTTTAAAAAGGCCTTTGACTCCATTTGGCATCTTGGCCTCTTCTATAAACTACAGAAATACAACACTTCCGGAAAATTCTACAATGTAATTAAAGCAATCTATCTTAATTCAATTAGCTGTGTTAAGCTAAAAAATAGATTAACTAACTCCTTTGCTGTGAAAAAGGGCATCAGACAGGGAGATGGCTTAAGTCCTCTACTCTTCAATATATTTGTTAATGACATCACAAGTCACATTGAATCCTCCAATAATGATCCACCAACTCTTCTACATAATAACCTTTCCTGCCTGATGTATGCTGATGACCTGGTACTGATTTCACAATCTAAATTAGGCTTACAGAATGCCATGAACAGTGTGGAAACATACTGCAAAAAGTGGAATTTAAAAATTAACACAACAAAATCAAAAATTATGATATTCAACAAATCTGGCAGAGTTCTCAACAAATTCAAATTCACAATCTCTGGCCAGCAATTAGAAAATGTAGCCTCCTATACCTACCTCGGAATCAAATTTAATCTAACTGGGAAGCTCCACAGAGCCCAAGAGGACTTGAAAAATAGAGCTCTAAAAGCCTATTTCAAAATGAAACAAATTTTGTATTCCGACACTGCAGTTCCATTAAAAGTACATATAAAAATGTTTGATGCTGTGGTAAGACCAATACTGCTCTATTGCAGTGAAATATGGTCAACTGATTACAACAACCATGCAAAAGATTTCTTTAATTTGACAACACCTATGGAAAAATTGCATGTAAAATTCTGTAAATCTCTTTTAAGAGTAAACAGCAAAGCTACCAATCTTGCTTGTCTACTAGAACTAGGAAACAAGATATCCATTAGCTATTACTAGTATAAAACAAAAAATTAAATATTGGTGTAAAATAAAACAAACAAAGAACAACACACTTCTTTCAGAAGCCTATAGACTTGGCATTTATTTAGATAATTTAAACATCTATAATTGGACATCTGGTATAAAGAATCTGTTGACTCATTTAAACATGAGTCACATTTGGGAAGAAAACCATTACAAGGATGAAAAGCTGCCTAAATCAGTCTCTGAAAAGCTTGCAGCCAACTTTCAAACATACTGTTTAGATTCAATGTATGATGATGATAAGGGAACAAAACATCAGAATAAACTCCGCACATACAGACATCTAAAAACAAAATTCACTTTTGAAAAATATTTAGAAACTGTGCAAAATCCCTTCCACAGGTCATCCATGACCGAACTAAGAATTAGTGCTCATGTGTTAGGAATAGAAACTGGAAGA